AATGATGTTTGATGAATTATGATGTATAAATGATGTGTGATGAATTATGATGATAAATGATATTGATGAATGATGTTAATGAAAGATGTTGAGATGCCTCTAATAATTGGCAGCTATTAAGATGTAGGCTTCTGGCCAACGATGATGTTGTGTTGAGATGTTGTTAATTATGGTTGTTGTCATTACATTCATGATTGTGTCGCATACATTGCATTTCAAGATGGAGTTGATGCTCGTTAAGATGGCCTGTATTGGTGAATATTAAGATGAAGGCTTATGCCTTGTTGATGCCTCTATTTATTGGCAATTATTTGAGAGGGGAGTTCTGCTCCAATGGTACCACATGCATTTGCACCATATTGAGTCGCATTATATGATTGCATAAAAAAGTTGTGTATTGATGCGGTAAATGTGTATATTGTTGGTATTCTGTTGCGATTATTGTTGTTTATACGATGAGAAGTGGTGATGTTATGTGATCTAATTTAATATATTATTTATCATACATTTTATTATATTGTTAGATATCTTACCCCTTCAGTTTGAATGTTACCCTTACGTTGGTAACATGCAGGTAACCCGGAGTGAAGGCGGTATACCTTTAGTAGTTCGAGTAGGTGTCATTGCTCTAATACGTAACACTCGGAGGGATGAACGCTTGTTGCTTTTGATTAATGATGATTTCAGTTGTTGAACTTAATTTTATTTTTGCTAAGCATGTGTTTATTTTGAAGTTGTTGAAATTGTTGGACCAAGATGTTATTAAGATTTCCGCTACGTAGATGTTTAAATTGTTGAATTAAGAGATTAAAGTATTATGCTGAAGATTCATCTGAAGTTTTAAAGTGTTATGTATCCATGTTGAATGAAATGTGTTTTTAAAGATGAATTTGTGGCATCCTAATTCGTCTGCATGCATGATTATAACTCTGATTTACATATATAATTGCCGGGTAGAATCAGGGTGTTACATATGTCGTCCAAGTCATCACAGTAAATTTTAGCATGTACGACAACTATTTAAGTATCTCAGATACACCACCATCAGTAGAAATCATCTTATTAAACCAAATTATGAATTTCTTGTTATGTTGTGTCAACAACCACTAAGCATTCAGGGATATTTTTTATTCATAATAGTTTTGTACTCTTTTATGTAAGGTTCAACTACACTAAGATTATTCAATATACAGAAATGTGCTTCAAGAACTACATCTTGACTCATTGTTTAGACATTTAAACCTTGAGTACTTGTACCATCAAATCTATCACCATGACGAGACTTTGGAATTCCAATAGACTCTGTTTTTGACAAATAGTTTGAAGAAAACTCAACAACTTCTTTTGTGGTGTACCTTTCAACAGTTGAAGCTTTCGGTTCGTGATGATTCTTCATATATCCTTTAAATATCTTTATGTATCTCTCTATAGGATACATCCACCTTAAATAAGATGGACCAAAAAACTTGATTTCTCTGACTAGATGAACAAGTAAGTGAACCTTAATGTCAAAAATGGATGGAGGAAAATACATCTCCAATTGACACAATATTATTGCAGCCTCTTCTTCAAGTTCATCTAATTTTTTGAAATAAATAACTTTATTACATATATCATTGAAGAATAAGCATAACTTGGTTATAGTTACTCTTACATTTTTTGGAAGGATGCCATAACCACTAGTAGAAGTTTTTGTATTAAGACATGACAATCATGAGATTTTAAACCTATTAACTTGATATCTTTCATTGATACAAGTTTCTTGATGTTAGAAGAGTAACATTGGGGAACTTTGATACCTTGAAAACACTCACAAGAACTTTTCTTTGCCTTTTTAGAGAGAGTGTGACATACGGGAGGCAAATAAGATCTTTTTTCTCTATCTTTTGGAGACAACTGTTGTCTAATACCCATCGCTGCCATATCTAAATGGGAATTCGTACTATCTTTAGTATTGCCTGGAATGTTTAGAAGTGTTCCTATCAAACTATCACACACATTTTTCTCCAAATGCATCACATCAAGGCAATGTATTACATCCAGACTAGACCAGTATGGAAGCTCAAAGAAAATCGATCTCTTTTTCCAAATATTTCTCTCAATGGGACCACCTTTATTCTTTCCAAATACAATATTAAGGTGTTATTGTTGCTGATAAACTTCATTTCCATTTAAAGGTTTAGGAGAATGTTCGTTCTCTTGCTCTCTATTGAAAGCCTTTTGCAATCTACGATAAGAATAATTGGATATTAGAAATTTCTTATGCCCAAGGTAAACGATATTTTTTCCAAACTCAAGTTGGTGAAAAAAGTTATCAAATTCACATATAGGACATGCTCTATGTCCTTTGACAGTGTATCCAGGAAAATTTCCATATGCAGGAAAGTCGTTGATTGTGTAAAATAACATTGCACGCATCTTAAAATTTTCACCAGAATATGCATCATCAACGACAACACCTTTATCCCACAAAAGTTTTAAATCATTAATTAATGAACTTAGATAAACATTTATGTCATTTCAAGGTTGTCTTGGTCCAGAAATCATCATAATTAACATCATATACTTGTGCTTCATGCTCAACCAAGAAGATAGGTTATAAATTGTGAGAAGAACATGCCACTATGAATGGTTAGTACTCATATTACCAAATGGGTTCATTCCATCCATGAAACAATGAATCAATTTTCTTGTCTCAAGCCTAAGGTTTCTTGGCTCAAATCCAAAATCCGGAAACAATGAATAGATTTTCTTCCATTGCAAAGAATAAGATACATGGCAAATGTTTCCATCATATTTTCTTTTATCTACAAGCCATCTTATATCCTTTATATCAGTTGCATTAGAAAAAATTATCTTGAACCTTGAAATTATTGGCAAGTACCATAAGACTTTACCAGGAGGATGCTTCTTACTGACATTGTCATTGTCATCATCATTGTTGTTCTTTAACCTGTAGCGAGACTCACCAAATTATGTACATTGATCCAAATTTTCATATTCTTTCCTGTATAATATGCAATCATTAGGGCATGCATGTATTTTGATATACTCCAAACCCATAGGATTGTCAAATGAATTAATTTTGCTTTTAGGAATTCTGTTGTGGTAACATAAATGAAGCTTCGGTGATGGTTATCAACTGATCTTTGGATAGAGTAGATTTTGATTTCACAAATTACCAAGTACACGTTGTTTACTTTTGGAATTATTTGATTGGAAAACTAGAATTTCTCCTTGAAGTTCTCCTATTAGACTTCAACATAAATAGCTTGAATTTTCATTAGAGTAGTGCTACAGCTTATGAGAATTTGAGCAAGTATCTATTGTTCTGCAATATGCCATTTAAGTTTTTTGGATGGCAGATTATTGTATAGCCTTACGGGGTAGTGGAATTTGAACAAACCCTATTATCTGTAATCCAATATTTAGAATTGAGTAATAAGAAGCATTCATGTTTGTCGTAATTTTTTAGTTGAACTTTGTATTAAGATTTGCAGATAGCAAAAACTTAATAATTTAACTATATAGATTCTCAATGGAGGCAGTGGCATGGCTGGTGGGGCATTTTATTCAAAAGACTTGGACCAGAATGATATTTGACATATGCCAGAATGATATTGGCGGCACATTTTATTCAGAAGATTTGGTGAAAATGGAATTCAAAAATGGAATAAAGGTTGGTGACAACACTGTGTATAACAAAATAACAATGATTGGGGAGACCATTGAAGAAGCAAAAACTAATAAGGTATCGTAAGTCATGATTTATTATATTTTTATTTTTTTAATGTAAGATTTAGTAGCCTTATACATGGTTGTAGCGAAATCACTGTTGAAACCATTGTTACTATATTATTGAATAATGAATTGTTCCATTATTGATGATTAAAATGGAAAGTAAAAAGCATAGTATGGTGCAAGTATTTTTGATGCTACAAAATTATGAAATTATGACCTTCTCATTGAAATATGATATGATCTTAACTACTGAAAGCTTATGCTTTTTATTCTTCACTGATGCAGAAAATATTCTTTTCATCAATGGAATCTCTCATTAGTTTGATGAGAGAAGTGGAACTTCTAGAAAAAGCTGTTGAGCAAGCCAATAGATAGTTGCTGAGCAAGCCAATAGATACCATGTTGGTGTATGCTAAATAAGCAAATGACATGGTTGGCAGTGAAATAAATACCAAAATTATTATACTATTATTTCACTTTAGAAACACTACTACTAATAAGAGCAGGTTGGGTCTTAAATCTGTTAGCACATGCATAATTGAAATCTGGTGCACTTTTCAAATCAACAGGTGGCCAGTTTGAGGACATTACGCTCTTCCTTTTTGGAAATGGTAATGTTTGTTCATTCAATGATGAAACATAATCTGTAGGGAGTTATATTACATCCTCTAACATTGACGCGTTACTGAAATCTTCAAAATCTCTTGAATTACTAATGATGAATTGAGAATCAAATTGAGTATAAGAAGTATCACCAAACAAAAAACCCAAAATCAAATCTTAGTCAAATTCTGAAATTTCAAAATGAGAATAAGAAATAGTTAACAGTTAGAGGAAAATATGTTTCACATTCAAGTTTTCATTTGACCATAAGTTCAATTCAAGCCTACAATTTAAATTTGTAGTCAAGGTGAACAATTAATTAAATTAATGAATGTAGATTTTTGAATGTAGCTATGATGCTAGATTAAGATATTTAGTTTAATACCCAATCGTCTGAGTTTTACTTTTATTGTTAATTTGATGTTATAAATGTATTATATGGTGGATTTGATATGCAAAAATTGTTAGTGCAGTTAAAAGTAAGCTACAAATGATTCATGGTACATGTTTTTTATTTTATTTAAGTGCTTATTAGTTTAAGTGACATTTTAATCATTCTTGCATTCTCTTCTCAATTTTTTGTAGGAATCAAGAATGTGGAGGTGGATTTGAGTAATTAGGTTGGTAGGATTCTTGGTTCAACACCAGAAAAAACCATGATGGAAGCTCTAGAGAAGACTGGTAGAAAATATCGATTAATTGGACAAGGAGTGTCAGAAGTAGAGTTGGCAACATCTGATGGATCGGTAAATGTATAAACATGTCCTTTTTTATATAGTTTGTGACAAGAAATAATATTTTTATTGTACAGTGTTATCTTCTGCTACTTTATGTTCAAGTATGTCCAGTTCTACCCCCTCTGTCACATTAATTGCTAAATTAATAAAGCCTATTTTGGTTAGAGTTTCCATTATTCAATTTCACATTTAACTACTTCTCATCTAAAACTTTATCAATTAAGGTAGTCAATGTTGCAATGATAGTGGATCCTTCATCTAATCAAATAATTCCAACTGCACATGATCGGGTTTTGACTATTTTCATGGTTACCGGAGCAATTGAAAATGGATGTTGAGAACAGTCTTCACAAGCTGCAACCATAGTATCCTTCAAAATCATACACGGAACTACTCAGAAATCACTGTGTCTCCATTGTTAGGTTTAATTGACTTATGTTTATGCAAGCATTAATTGACTTATTATCTTTTGAATTTGATACTATTGACTGTGCAGGTCTGGAACTTAGAGATGATAATACTTTACTTGATAACTGCAGTAAATATGAGTATTCAGCTGGTGCTGAAGATCAGGATAAACATTGCTCCACTGCTGAACATGGCCTCAACCCTGATGGTTGTCTGATTCATCCCTCCGATGATTCACCTGGATATGAGGAGAAGCAATCTTTTGTTTCCTTATATAATATATGATAGTGAGAAAATACATCAATGAGGCTACTGATGAATTGAATTCTTGTGTTGATCATGAATGGTCAAAAAGCTACATGGTCCTGAAAGGCTATTATCAACCATAAAGGTAAAAACATTGTTGCAATTTTTTGACTTGATTTTATGATTTATGTTATTTCTTTTCTCAATAGTTGGTTTCTCTTCAGGACATTTCCCCAACTTCTCAGGAAAAGCTCTGCAAAGCCATGGACTCAATTTATATTCTTCATACAAACAATCTAAGTAAGTGCCTTGAGTATTCCTATGTTATCTACTAAACTTTATTCAAGTAATAGTCAATTCGCCGTTCCACAGTCCGTGATTCTATTTCTATATTCAAATGTGTAGAATAATTATTGGTAGGATATTTTCGTGTAAGTTACTAAAACAATTGATTTTCAAAAGGACTTGAGGCTGGATAGCTTGGATAGGGTTGAGCTTATTATGACTCTTGAAGAAGAATTTTCCATAGAAATTCCTGATGAGAAAGATGATAAGCTTACTTGCTGCAAGGATGTTGCAAAATACATAGCCTCTGAGGATGGTATGTTTCAATAATATGTGATGGTGTCTTTTGCCTCTGAGGTTTGTCTTTATTCGTTTTCAGTGCAAGATGCTTTTTTTAAATTTTCAAGGAACATTTCATACTGTTAATTTTAAAATTTAAATGGACTCCTATATTTTTTTTCTGATATTCCTTCATTGTTTATGTTGATTTTATTGTTTAGTACACTCAATAAGTGAAGACAAGTGAAGACACATATCTGACAGGTTTGGAAGATCAAGTGAAGACTCATTAAGAAGGAAGAAGCCTAATGGCCATGATCATGGAACAAAAGCTAATATGAAATCCATGTGTGATACGGTGGCAGAACTGACTGTTTTTACTGGTTTGCGTCTTGTGTTTTTTGTTTGCAAAATGTCGCCGTAAGCAAGAGTCGCCACCGACTTTTATTTCATCCAATCATGGAAAAGGAAAAAGAATAGAAAAAACCTTTTTTCGAGATATTCTGAGTACGGTGGGTAGATTATAGAAAGGGAAGGTGTTAGCACCCTTTCTATCCGTAGTTATCTATGGGCTCTTAGGTACTTGCTCATTTTTTCAAATTGCTTGTGTGTGTTTGTCTTGAAAATGTTTTACTTCGTGATAACCCTTGTGACAGTCCTCAAGGATGTGACGGAGTTTGTTTTGAAATTTTTTTTGAAAGGTGTTTGTGTGAAAAAGTTTTTTTATTGAGCAAGTACTTAAGATTCTACCTACTCGAAAAAAGATTGTTTGTTCTCGTTTCCTTTAGACAGCGCTATCCTACTATTAAGGAGTAGGTAGCACCGTCGTTGGAGTTGTAAGGGACATTCGAAAGGGACAAGTACAATCGCTAAAGCAATAGTTAGAAAACTTTAGTAGTAACCCTAGAGTCTTAAGATCTATCCGAGGCAACATTTCTGAGGCAACATTCGAATGGGACAATTTGATCTTTTTAGACTGGAGGGAAACCACTAAAATCTCCTATGCTTAATGATTGTTTACCGAAGGCAACCGAAGTGAGGTGAACCCTAGGAATGAAATATGTGCATATGATTTGTTTCAGTTATTTAATCTTTGCACATTAGGTGATCTACCGTTTTAATTTTCCAGACATTCTTGCCATACAATCCTATTAGCATACATCTAGATAGTTAAATATTTGTAGGAATTAAAAATGCGAGAAAATAAACCTAGCTATTACAAGGCTTCAGGGATGGGGATTAATTAATAACCAAAGAATCGGGGATTAAAACAAGAAATAAAACCTTTATTTAACTATTACAAGCCATCGACAGTTACAAAAATAATGGAAAAGAAATAATTAAATGTGCGGCGAATTAAATACAAGGAGAAATTGAAAACCCTAAAATCTAATTGAAAAAATAATTAAGTTATTTTTGAGAAAAGAATTGATTAAATTATGCACGACTGAAAACCTAATTCTAATTATTTTTTAATTATGAAAGAAATTGAAATTAAACTAATCTAAACTAAATTAAATAATTTCAAAAAAATAAAATATTTTGTACAAAAAGATTTTGTGTATTTTTTGGTTTTTTATTTGAGAAAAGAAATTTAATTGTAAAATTAAAACCTAGTTTCTATTTGATTTTAATTATAGAAAAGAAATTAAATTAACCTATATTTCTAATTAAATTAAATAATTTATTATTAAAAAAATGATTTTTTTTTTGTATTTCGTGATTTATTCATTTTATGATTAATAAAAAAAGGGTAATAAATTTGGTGAAAAATAATTAAACAAAATAATAAAATAAAAGAAATAAATAAAGAAAAGAAAGAGAATGGGCCTGTATGCTAGCAAAAAGGGGGTGCAAATCTGAATTCCCAAGCCCAAAAACACTCCAAGCCCAGTCAATATTGGATCCTGTGTAGCGTTGACTTGAACGTGTACCATGGTCCCTCATGGATGAAGCGCTAGATCTGATGGCACGCTAGATCAAGTGGTTGGATGTTGATGGAGTATGGTAGACCCTTTGATAAGAAGTGCATGCAATCTGCATTCAGAAAATAGGAAAATAGGAGTTGCTGGGACCTGGGATCGAACCCAGGTCCTCTAACCCTTCCATTATGCTTGCTTGCCATCTGTGTTACGCGCTTTTGTTGTTAGCATAATAACAACAGTTCATAATATATATTAAAACGTGAGTTAGTAGACAAAACAGAAAAAGCGCGCGCCAGTTTGAATGGACCAATCCTTCACCTCCACACCATCATCTTCTTCACTGACCCATGGCTTTAGGCAACATACTTTTACCAACGGCAGTTTTCCGTCACTATAAGCTATAGTGACAGATTTTGTTTGTAGCTAAAAACCTGCGTGATTCAAATACATGATATAGGCAATATAAATTGAAACCAAAGCTAGGGGTCAATCAGGAATTAAGCCCTGAGTCTAATGGTATCCAGAATTCCTCTCAACTTGCCCTGAAAGAGGAAACCCCAATTTTGAGTTTTCGAACCCTAGTAATGGCGTCTTTCAATTCCTGCGCTCAAACTCAAATTAAACGATACAAACATATTGCAAACATGGTGACAAACAGCAATACATGATTAAAATAAGTTTATAATGCATAAATCATGGAAATCGAATTTCAAAAAATATCGCAAACCGTGATACTCGTACCAGGTATTTTGGGGCGGGAAAAGACTTAAAATTGATCCAGTTAGCTTCAGAAACCTCTTAGGATGCGATTGCTGGCCTTCAATTGTTTTGAAAAGTCCTCTAGAATGAAAATTGAATCACACTTTTTTGCAAGAAATTTGGAATTTGTTCTCTGATCTTCACGCCTCCTAACCCTATTTTTTTGCTTTGTTCTTGTCCAATATATACCTAGGGATGAATTAGGGTTACAAACTTGGATTGAATCTTCAAGTTTGATGAGATTTGATTTGATTCTTTAGCCATATGCAAACTTGCTATTTTGAGCCAAATCTTCCCTTTCTTGTACCAATTGTGCTTGATTCGTTTTGGCCTTGATAATTCAGCATATTTTGATTGCCAACCTGTCCAAAAACCAAAACAAATACTATCTTTGCTATTATTCATCAATTATTTGATTTAATTCAATTTTTAATTAATAAAAAATCAAAATAAATTGAAAAATGAAGAAAATAATGTGTGGGTGAATATTTGAGTCGTGGACCACATTATAAGTGAGGTGCAAGCATAAAAAGTTAGGCCCATTTAGCAAAAAATGCATTTTTGAGCACATTTGACTTTTAGCAATTTTGCAAAAAGGGTCAACTTTGACAAGGAATATCTCTTCCAATTTTAACCCTAGAGAGGTATTCTTGGACTTTTTAGAAATTTTAGGATGTAACCTAAGCAACCCTTTTGGTCTCATCTCAATTGAGTCTTCCATGTTCATGTAAGAAGCTTTGACACAAAAGGTGTTTTTGTTGACTTTTCAAAAGGACCCATAATATAGAAATTCATATCTTTTTATGAATGCAAATTTTGAACTTGTCGGATGAATATGAATTGCAGGGAATTGCATCCTCTTCAAAATGAGCCTTGGATGGAAAAATGTTGATAAAGCATGTGGAAGTTATTCTTGGTCAAAGTTGGGTTGACTTTTACTAAGAAACCCTAATTTAGCAACTTTTGGGTTTTGATGAATTTGGAGTATTATTTGAGGAATCATGATCAAACCTTGATCAAATGATGAAATTCACTTCAAATTATTAATGTTGACCAAAAATCTTGAAGTTTGACTGTATGTGGGTCACAGTTGACTTTTGACCTAATACAATCGATTCTCAAGCATCTGAGCAGTTGACTGAGAAAACTTCTTGTGCAAGGCAAGAAACTTGACATGTAGGGTCTTGAGAACATATTAAGACCATGGAGAGCATATGAGGCCTTTATGGTTCACCCATCTTGATGAAAATGGAAACCCTAATTTGAGGTACACTGTCTTAGGAGGGAGTTTGTCTGGTCAACTCTTGGGCAAACTTGAGCAACTTGAGGATCTCTAGGAGCATGTATTGAGTAAAAATGAGAGGGAAAATTTTGGGGTACAACGCTTCCCTGTTCAATCTTCTTAAACCTGAGGATGTAGATTGGCTCGTCTGCCTTTCGTGATCTGAAGGTGGGAGATGATTGAACACTGGAGTGCCCAGAAATTTGCACTCGCATGAAGTGGCACTTGATTTGGTGATATCGAGAATGGGATTATAGATGCCATTTGGAGGTTGATGATAGAATATTGTCGGATATGGGCTTAAAGATGCCATCCTGGATGCGATGGAGAATTGTAGGAGATGGGCTTAAGGATGCCATCTAGAGAATGTTGATTTCCTGAGACATTCCTTCGGTGAGAGTTCCTGTTACCGTTGTTGATAAGGAATCTGCTGAGGAACGTTGGTATCTGTCTTGGGAGATATAGAATTTTAGGAGCTTCAGTTATCCGTTACACTACTAGGGGATAACTCCGCTTGAGGAAGCGGAAGTGAACTGCATATCTGGTCAGGGTATATGCTGCACCGCGACTTACTGGGGAAATGCGAAACTAATCGTGTTTGATTAGGTCCAGGTTCTACAGTGTTGTGGACTGCTGTCTGGAGATAAGAGAGAAGGAACCCGGATAGTAAGGTTATAAGAAGGAACCTTGACAGTAGGGTTACTTCGATATGAAAGCCTGGATAGTAGGGCTATGAGAAGGAACCTGGATAGTAGGGTTACTTCGATATGAAATCCTGGATAGTAGGGCTGTGAGAAGGAACCTGGGTAGTAGGGTTACTTCAATATGAAAGCCTGGATAGTAGGGCTGTGAGAAGGAATCTGGGTAGTAGGGTTACTTCGATATGAAAGCCTGGATAGTAGGGCTGTGAGAAGGAACCTGGGTAGTAGGGTTACTTCGATATGAAAGCCTGGATAGTAGGGCTGTGAGAAGGAACCTGGATAGTAGGGTTACTTCAATATGAAAGCCTGCATAGTAGGGCTATGAGAAGGAACCTGGATAGTAGGGTTACTTCGATATGAAAGCCTGGATAGCAGGGCTGTGAG